TGTCCTTAAGTGAGTTGTGGTTAAAGATGTTACTCATCTTCTGACTGTGGTTACTTGTATCCATGCTTGTAATATGTGTCCTTAAGTGAGTTGTGGTTAAAGATGTTACTCATCTTCTGACTGTGGTTACTTGTATCCATGCTTGTAATATGTGTCCTTAAGTGAGTTGTGGTTAAAGATGTTACTCATCTTCTGACTGTGGTTACTTGTATGCATGCTTGTAATCATATGTGTCTTTATAAATTCTTTATTACAAAACCTTAGCTATTGTTAAGGTTTTGTAATAAAGAATTTTTACTAAAGGTTTACCTGTGAATTTCTGAAGAAGCTGAGTCTGTCATAGTAAAGGTGATTTTAATAAAAATACTTCTTTACCTCGTAGTTCATTGGCATAACCTCTAGAAATGAATATCAAAAGTTATGTTGTTTTTTTGGGTGAAACTTTCATTTCATTTCTTATTTTCTCTACCCTAACACTATCTGTAACAAAATCATCAATGCACAGCCAAATTAAAAGTTGTTTTTCTATATATATTTACTGCAGTATTGATCAGAAAGATCCAAGTTACTTATCTTTCGAGCATCAGCTTTTAACCTTTTCACACATTCTTTCTTTTAATATTATCATTTTATTGGTCAACTTTGTATGACTAATCCAAGCTTTAAAAGCAATAAATCACAGCAGGATCCCATTAGCTGTTTCCCATAGAGCTAAGATAAATGCCCCATAATTGTAAAGTTTCATATTACACAAGCTCAAACTATTGTAAATTTAAACATTTTATTTTACTGAAGTTTTGTTAGGCTAAGCAGAGAAGTCTTTTAATTCTTACATTTTAGTTACTTTTGTTACCAAAAATATAAAAATAAGTAAAAAATATAGATTTATATAGGATTTGTGGTACTAACTGTGTATTCAAGCAGTTTGCACTTAAATAGACTTTCTTCCATTAACTTCATTGAGTCTCACAAGTTTGAGTGTTGGAACAAAATTCATGTGGCTTTTCAAGTATGAATCTTAGAATACAAAATATATATATCCGTTGCTAGAATAAAATGTTCCAAATTTACCATAATTTATCTGGCTTTCTAAGTAAGCTATAAATACGTTAAATTCTTTTACCATTCAGAGCAGTAATATATGATCATCACATGTAATTTCTGCTGATTAATGGTTATGGCTGGAAAATGTGTAAGATTTATGTAGAGAAGAATCTGTTTTTTCTGTTGGTTATAAACATTTGTCAGCAGTGTCAAGTTGATTAGCAAACAGCCTCAAAAGAAGAGGATATTCTCTAGGTAGGAGGTTCAGAGTTTAGGTTCTTGCTTGAAATTATACGTAGTTTGTATTTCTAATTGTTTGGAAACTACAGCAAGTTGTTTTTGGTGTTAGAAAATTCTCAAAAGAAGAAATTTGAGCTCAGATGTGTCATATGACATAGAAAAGATTGAGAATTTAAGTATTTCTTTTTTGAAATGAAAAAGTTAAAACTTTGGTAATATACAAATTTGAATTATAAACAATTTTTAATGCCTATTTTATTGACATACATTGATGATAAAGTTGTTTAATTAAATGTTGAATGTAACTGTGTAAGTTGCAAAATAAACATGTCTGGATGCAAAGGGTTAACCCAACATAATAATTAATTACTGTTACTTTTTGAACAGTTAGAATTAGGCACTTATCTCTTTTCAGCTGGAAAAACAGAAATCTGAACATGAATCAAGCATAGTTTCATACAAAGCTTTGCTAACCACGATGAATGTACAAATTACAAGCTTGGAGTCTAAGCTTTCCAAAACTGAAGAGGAGGCTAATCAACATAAAACAGCTGCTGCACAGATGAGGTAAGTTCCTTTGTTGATGGTTAAAAATACACTCACACACACACACCAAAACAAGTGATAAGAGAATTATGACACTAGTTCACGAGAACTACCAAATAAGTTTATCAACTAAAACCAAATAAAAGATTTGGACCCCCATCCAAATCTAATTTCATATTGATAGAATTCTTGAAAACAGTCTTTTTTTTCAGTATTGGTATCTTTATGTATTTTTATTGCACTTTTAATGTTTATGTTAATAAAAAAATAGAAGCTAAAATTCCTCTGCTTTGTCACAAATGAGTTTTTATTTCACCTGTCCAGCGGAAGGATACTCCAGCTAGTATATATATAAAAGAATTAAATTTTTTTCTTGCAAACATTATGTATGATGTATGAATGGTAATGCCCAAAAGTACAGAAACAAGGTAGGTATGAATACACAAGACCATACATAAATCACTACATAAGTAGCCAAATCTTTTGAAGAATAACTTTTACCTACAAGTAAATATTGAATTCCTGTCAGTTGTATGAATTCAGATTTGAATAAAAGCATTTAAACTGAATAGTACAGTACAGTTTTATGGTGGCTAATAACTATTATCAGTATTTACTGGCTACTTATGTAAGGATTTTTGTATGGTTTTTGTATTTACCCCTACCTTGTTTCTGTACCATCTGGCATTACCATTCATACATCGTACTTAATTTTTGCAAAAATTTTTATGTTACTTCCCCCTTTTTTTTTAAACAATTTCATTAAAGTAGGTTGATGTGAGAACTTTGTTTTATTTTTGTAATTCAATGGTAATATATAATTGTCAATGTCATATCAGTTTTGTCAACTTCTCTAAGTTTGGATTACATTGGTGGCCAGTGAAGCTGGAATGGTTCCTTCAGGATGGTACAACTACCCTGGAGTGCTGGACTGACATTAAGGACCAGTCATTATTATAAGAACAATTTTTTCTGACATCTAGTGACCAGAAATGAAACTGTTATTTAAGAAACATGGAAATAATATATACTTATAAACTGAACTTACTGCTAAGTAGTAATTTTCCTTTTTATTATTTCCTCACAAAAATATGTGTGGTAGAAGAACACAATAATACTACTATTATACAAGCTGTGGAATACTCAATAATGGCAATTAGGTGCTCAAATAAGGCTATAACAACTTCAGCAGTTTTTCTTTGATAGATTGTTTACGCAAAGTATTCAATAGGCAGTTGCTGTCCATTCTACAGATTTTCAACTTTAGCAGTTATTAGTAAGCATATAGTAATAGATTTAATGTGGTTGTCATTATTTTTTTGGCCCAGATGCTTAGTGATAGCCTGTTCCCAAGTGCTCCTAAAATGCTTTTCTGTTGTACTAAAGCCATTGCAAAAACTTTGCTAGTATGAGAGGAGAAAAAGAAAAGATGAACACTTTGGTTCTTTTGCTAGTTCCCAGTTTTCCACTTTAGCAACACTTTTCAGTGATATTGAGAGTCTCACAAGCTGTGAAACACTTGGTAATGGCAGTTAGGTGCTCAAATAAGGCTATAACTCAACCTTAGCAGTTATTTATAAGCATCATAAAGTAATAGATTGAATGTAGCAGCAATTATTTTCACAGCCCATCCCTACATATTAAGCACTACCGTGCTTAGTGATTTCTGTAATGGGAATTGGGGCAACTATCTTTTGTACCACCCTATATGTATGGATAAATAATTAGAGATAGATATATATACTTTCACATTCAATTCATATGTGCTAATATCACAGTTAAATTAACTTATTTATGCACCTACTTAGAAAAAAATGGGATGAACTTTATTTTTGAAGGGTCTTAGCTGAACAAGCAGAACAATCTCTAGAAATTCTTCACAAGAAACTAACAACCAAAGATGAAGAAAGTCACCACACTGTTCAACAGCTCAAAGAATATCAAGAGGAGATTGGTTAGTTAAAATTATCTCTTTTTTTTTATCATCATTGGAGTGATCTTTTCAGATGTTTAAAAATGTTTAATAATAGCTAAATTAGTTTTCAACTGTAAAAAGAATATTAAAAGTAGAGTTTTATTAGCTAAGTTGGTTGTCATAGTTGATAAGTACTTGTTACTTTTTTTTTCTACAAAAGATGATTTTGTCATAACCAAGTAATATTTATCTTTATAAGAACTTATATCATTGGATTTTAATGGACTTTCAGGTGTTTTAATCAGATTAACCCACTCTTGTCATTTGAGATGTAATAAATATCTAGATTTACTTTTTACTTATTATTTCCTTTGTGTTTTTCTCACAATAGGCCAAAAAATGTTTAAAAACCTATAGATTTGAAAGTAAACCTATATTTTTTTAACTAAAAGTATTGTTGTAAAATTGCCAGTACTGTAGTCATGATATCATCGTAATTATCCAGTAAAAATCCATGGAAGTATAAAGGTTTTCCAGCACTTTTGTTGTGGAAAATTCAGACTTCATTACCAGAAGTTACATGGTAAAATGAATCTCATGGAAATTCTACAGACAGTTATAGAAATTCCCATTTATTATTAGTCAAATGTTAATTATTTATGTATATTTAACTATATTTTGGTTTTTGAAACCACAGTTTCCTCTATATTTTTAGAAATAGGAACCTCAAAAAAATGTATTTTTCCAGTAGAGTCTTGTTAATCATTTTATCATTAATTACCTTTTCATAATGAGCAAATTACTACAGTCACTTCAAAAAAAAACTCTTTGTCATGGTTGAGTAGTACATATCTTCCAAAACATACTTACCTTTTCTTACACCACAGCTGTTACTTGACTGCCAGGATTTTTTCCTTTGCCCATCTTAGCATTGGTCAGACTTTTTTTGCTTGCTTCAATCTTTTATACCCCACTTTATTGCCTGTGCTGAAATTTGTCTCTTGACTCTCCCCACCTGTGTCAGTGCGCCCTCTATCCTGCTACTGTATATAAGCACCTCATTCAGATAATGTTATCACTTTTTCATAACAAAGCATCACTAATGGTTTCCCAGTACTACAATCATTTGGAGATACTTTGAGTACTCTCCACATTACCTAGTTGATTTTCATTTAAAAAATTCGATTGGCAAGCTGATTTACGGCATGAATTCCCGGTTTATTATTTCCAGCACAGAGGCAATCATGTCTCTCTGATATCTAGTGTCGCACAACAATTGAGGGGAATCACTCTCCGTTGAGACTGTCAGTGATCTTATTCATAGTGAGATAGAGACATATATTTGGTTTGATGGTGTTCCTCCTGGGGGGCTCTGAAGCTGAAATTGAGGGTGATCCTCGACATTGTGGAGAAAATTTAGATTCACTTTTTCCTACTGCATCTTTTAGTCTGTTGGCTTCCCAGTTCCCCTGTGGGACAGTGGTAAGTTTACAGACTTACAATGCTGGAATCTGGGGTTCGATTCCCTATAGTGGACACAGCAGATAGCCCATTGTTGCTTTGCTCTAACAAAACAAACTTACCTGAATAAATGTTGTTCCAAACAATGGTAATAAAAACAATCTTTAAATGAAATAAAAAGGAGGCCACTTTGGGATAAGCTGCCACTGATTTTTTTCTTCAGTTGGTTCATTGAGAGCTTTGGGTCTTTCCCCAGTTACTTTTGAGCCTGTGCCCTACTTGATGATTGAAAGGTCTGGGAGTAAATATTTTTGATTTTTTCTAACCCATTGTTGGGTCCTGTTGATAGCACCAGATTGGCAGCTACACCCTGGTTTCTGCTTCTGTGGTACCTTCAGGAGTGTCCACCTCTTCCACTTCCTCTTTGTTCATCTCTGTTGAGGCAGCCATGATCTGACATTGTACATCCAGCTATCTAGAAGCTCAAGCTTCAGACATGGAGGTTATGCAATCCTTTGCACAGCATTGGGATTTAATCTCTAAGGTTACCATATACCTGTTTCGGTCTTTGCTTAGTTCTGCATTGGACATTTATCAACGGAAATGACACAAATATCGGTAGTGGTGTATTGAGAAGAGGTTGAACCCACTTCGATTAGAAGTGCCAGTCATAGCTCGTTTTTAACCTGGCTCTTTGGCAAGGGTTTTCAAATCATCCACAATCGCCCTGTATAAGGTGGCCTTATTGACTACTATTCAATACTTGTGACAAAATATTCTTTGAGTTCCCAGTACTCTCCAGATTCCTCAAGTTGCTTTGAGTCCTTTATCCCAAACAACCATTCCAGTTACCTAACTGGTATATTAAGGTGACATTACATGCCCTTTCTCAACACTTGTTTATGACCTTACTCTCATATGTCATGTATCACCTACATCTGAAGGTTTATTTTTCATTTTTCCTGATCTACAGACATCACCAGTTGGAGTGATTTGCCCTGATTGTCCATAGGACACTTTATCATTCTGCCTACAACCTCAGACCAATTCTTCTTACCTAAGAAACTATCAGCCAGAGAAGGGAATAAATCCTTTTCACCAATTCATCTGATCACCATTTTTCACATCTATGACTGATCAGATTTGGATCATGTTCAGTGAAAGTCTTGATGGTTTTGTTGCCTGCATTAATGCCCTTAGAGAAAAGAGCCTTACATAGCCATAAAAAATATCTGTAAATTCAGTTCAGGATTTTGAAGAGATTTTGATTATGCTTCTCAAATATTTTACTGTCAAACTTTAAGGAATTTAATATGGAAAGTTTCTAAAATATTTTCTTTTCTAGATAACCTGAATTCATTGATCAAAGAACAAAAATTTGAACAAGCAAGACTTCATTCCACTGTTGCAGCTTTAGACAGAGAAAAAGACCAGATACAGTCTGAAGCTGATAGTAAGGCTGAGCATTTAATGGAAGCACATCAAACATTAAATATAAAGGTTGTCATTTAATATATATTAGTATTAACATTGTAAAAATTGTGTAAGTAATATATCAACTTTTATTTGAATTATCAGGATTATTTACCTCATTAAAAACTTGTCTTTACACTTCAGTTTTGGTTAACTTACATTATGATTTCTGAATAACTACAATATTTAAACTGTTTACAAAGTCCTAAGAATTTTTAACTTTTGCCAACACAAAAGTGACTATGTCACATCTTTAGATTGTTTTATGTAAAAATCCAATTGGTATACAAAGGAAGAAACTAGTTAGTTTATCAAATTAATGATGGAAGAAAACTTTAACCCTTTATCTTGTGATTAGAATAATCACTTTGAATCATAATCAAGAGAGCTTTAGCATAACTTTTATATAATATTTTCATTGTTAATTCAATTAACTTGTGTGATGCAATAAGGTAAGGATTAAGAAGATAGATTTCACCAATGTAGATTTCCAGTTTCATTATTTTAAAACTTATATTTTTTATTTATTGAATATACCTCATTAATGATATTTTAAAATTGTTAAACCAATTTGAGGAAAAGACATACCTTGTGATACAAATTTGCAGAGAACATGTCCTCAGTTGCTGGAATCTAAGTCT